TACTTCCCTGTCCTGTAGCCTGTCAGAACAGGGCTCCACCTTCCCTCTCCCACACCATGGCTCCGGCCTCCCCAGGGGCCTCCCTGCCCCCAGCTTCCCACACGCTGCAACCAGAACCGTCGGGTCCCTCCCCAGACCTTCTGGTCATTGCCCGCTGCCTGCAGGACACCATCCAGGCCTCGGGTCATCCGAGGCTGCAGCCCCCACAGAGTCCCGAAATCAGCTCTCCCTCAAGCCCCCAGCCCTCCAGGCCCACCAAGAACTCTTATGCCTGGGGTGCCCCCTTCCCCTGGGCATCCCCCCCTCACCTGGAGAACTCTCGCCCAGCTCTAAGCAAAGGAATGGAGACTGTGGGTCAGGAGAGGGTCTCTCCTGGCCTGGCGGGCTACCAAGGGAGGCTCTGAGATTGGCCACATTCAGTCACGGGGAGGAGCAACCCTCTTGGCCTGGCCCTGTCCTCTCTCCAGAGATCTTCCCTTGGCAGCAGCACAGCCATGAGGCTCCCACGGTGGTTGCCTCCTCTGCCCACCAGGGAGGACACTGCAGCTGACAGTAGTGGGCAGAAGCTTGGCACCTGCGGCCCCTGAGACGGAGGCAGCCAAGGTCGCTGGCACAGAGCTATCCAGCACCTCTCCCTGCAGCCCAGTGGGGCACCCGGTGGTATTCCCGGGAACCACCTGCCCCTCCTCCCTCCCAGCACTGAGCCCAGGGGCCCAGGAGAGAGATCCAGAGGGTGGGGGGGGCAGAAGGCACTTTCTCCTCTCTGCATGGCCACATGCATGCGTGGTCAGTGGGGGCTGTGCGTGGCTCTGTCCAGATGGTGTTTTTCAGAAATCTGAAGCCACATTTTAAATCAGGAGGGTTCACATAAAAATTCTGACCTCTGGGTTCTCTTGGCAGTGAGATGATCAGCTGCCCCAGGCCCATACTGCCACCGGGTCAAGGTCAAGGCGGCGAGAAGGTACTGTCCCCTCACACAGGGCCTCCGGTCCGCCTGTGTCTGCAGTAAGGCCAGGGCTGGATGCTGTGAGCTGCCACATTCCCACCACCGTCCTCTTTCCAGAGAGACGAAATTCTCTGTCATCTGCATTTACACCTTCACAGAAGCCCAGGCTCAGCCCCTTGAGGCTGTGACCAGCCAGGCCCTGGGGCTGGTGTTCCTGTGAATGTGGTCTCTCCGGGCCCCACGGTGCTGGAACTGCCTGGCCGAGACTGGCACTCAGACACGCGTCGTTGGAGCCCCCGCACCGCCTTCCAGAGGGTGCAATGGAGGGGGCAGAGGAGCCAGGGCCTGCCGAGGCTATGTCTGTGCACCATCCCCAGGAAGGAGCGAGTGGGGCCTGCCATGGTCTCCACGTGGCCTGCCCCAGCACCCCATGGGAGTGCGCCCCGCCCACTGCCCGGCCAGCCGGGCACAGGAGGCCACTCCCCTCCTGGGGCTGGCTGGAGGTGGCCCCAAAGTGCCTTGTCCTGATCCTTGGAACCTGTGGCTGGCACCTTACGTGGCAAGAAGGGATTTTGAGACATGCTTCGACGGAGGCTCTTGAAACGGGAGACGGTCCTGGGTCATCCAGTGAGTCCCGGAAACAGCCACAGGCGTCCCTGCGGGGGTCGCGAGGAGGCTGACACACAGAGGAGAGGAGGGGCCATGAGGCCAGAAGCCAAGGCAGGCTGACAGCCACAGAAGCGGGAGAGGCCGGGCAGGGTCCTCGCCAAAGCCTCTGGAAGAAGTGGCGTCCGAGACACCTTGACTCTGGCGCAGAGAGGCGACTCTGGTGTCTGGCCCCGCGCTGGCGGAGGCCCGTCTCTGTCGTCTCAAGCCCCTCAGTCGGCGGTGGCACGTCACAAAAGCCTGAGGCTTGGAGGGGCCATGGGCCGGACCAGCAGCTGCAAGCGCAGAGCAGGGCTCCTGGCCCAGGCAGTGCTCCTGGTCCGGCACCTGCCAGCCCTGGTTCTCCATTCAACAGCCCCAGATAGGGCGAAACATGTGCGCGTGTGCACGCGCATGTACACACACATGTGCATACACACACATGCATACATTCATATATGCATCTGCACACATGCACACCCACATGCATGCATACATGCTATAGTGACCCCCACTCTCACAAAGAGTCCCTGGACGGAGGATGGCCTTGGGGTCAGCAGAGACCAGGGATTCAGGGTGCCTGTAACCCCTGAGAAAGGTCCGCCCCTTGGATGCTGGGAGACGCCACACTTCTCCACAGAAGGCCTTAGGGCTTTGCCTGCCATCTTGGCCTGGCCCCCAGTCACCCTAACAGAGACGCTTCCGCAGAGCCCAGCACAGCCAGAGCCGAGAGAAAATGCGCCTCCCACCCCCCATCCCAACACCCTTCTCCAGGGCAGAGAGCGACACCGTCATGCCCGAGCCACCCAGTACACACATGCCCCATCCAACTTGAACCTGCATAATGTGTGAAAGCCATTGTTTTTCCATCCGCGTCCCTGGGTCCTCAAGTTAGCCACCGGTCTTGAATGACAGAGATTATCCAAGAAAGCGATTCACAGAGGCTTTGTGAGCCCCCAAGGTCACCCTCGGCAGACTGCCGGCTTCTCAGGAAAAACAGGCCAACATCTCAACCCCCTTGAGGAGAAGCCTGCGGCCCAGGTGCCAGTCAGGCACCCCTGACCCCATGGGGAGACCCTGCCACCCCAGACGGAGGCCCACCCCCCTGACTGGGAGGCCCAGGCCAGGTGTGCTCCCACCCTAGGGGTCCATCCTACCCACCCTAAGGGTTCATCCTACCCACCCACCGATAGCTAACTTCCAGAATTTCTTCGGGGGAGGCAGGAGGAAACTGCCACTCAGCCCCTCCTGCCTGCTTCAGCCAGAGTCACACTGACATTTCAGGGTTCCTGTGCAAAGTCACCGGAAGGAAAGGTCCCCATGCCCACTCAAGCACACGCACAGCCCCTCACACCAGGTCCTGGGCTCTGTCCCAGGACACAGCCTCCACGCACCTCCCAGCTGCCACTGCAGTCTCTGGCAAGGCCAGGCTGCTGGAAAGCTGGATGTCTGAGGTCACTGCGGGCCACAGCCCAGCCCGGCACTCACTGTGTCTGGACTCCCTCCAGCCAGCGCCGACCTCAGCCCAGGGCCACGTGGGGCAAGAAAGCCCGGAGTGAGCTCTCTCCCCATGCGGGCCACGCTGACACCAGACAGGAAAGCCAGGCAGAGGGGGCTTGGCCCAGCTCCAAGGCCTAGGATCTGAACCTCCGGCCCAGTGCCTGGGCCCACGCCACCACCTGGGCTCCCTGCTGGAAACCCTGGGTATGCAGCCTGGGCCAGGACCTGGAGCTCAGCTTGGCCAGACTCCCGCCCCCGCAGCCCTTCCCAGCCCCCAACCCACCTTCCAGCCTGGCCTTACCCCTGACCCGGCCGTCGGCCTCACCCAGTGTCTCTGCGGCCAACAGTCTCTGGGCTTGCTCTGAGCTTGAAATTCCTTTCCTGTGTTCTGAGCTCCAAGCTCTCACTTCAGATATGTGGGTTGGGGTTGGGGGGAGGTGGAGGGAGGGTACAACAGAAGACGCCAGAACACCAGCAGAAGCCCAGAAAATACGGCCAGGCCTCCAGGCCACGGGGGAAGGGCCCATGTTCAGGAAGACAAGCGGCATATGGAATTAGCAACATGAGACCTGGCCAAGGGCACCCAGCCAGCCCCTCGGTGCAGGCTTACCTCGCCCGCCCAAGCACAGCCCCCCGAGCCACCCTGATCTTCCAGGAGAGGCCGGTGCAGAAGGCCCAAGCCCAGAGTACGTGCAGCCCTGGCCGGAGTTCTCTGAGAGACGGGCGCTTTGAACCCTTCTGGGAGACAGAAAGCAGAGCCCAGAGCCCAAACTTGCCCAGGGCAGCCACTAACCAGGAGCAGGCGGGGCCCAGCCCTGGCTCTTGAAACCTCCCTGCCTCGAGTCCTCTCCTGGCCTCCTGGGCTCTCCCCATTCCTCCCTGCACGAAAGCCCAAGGGTGGAAACAGGCGGGAGGGACTGAGGCCGAGTGGTGCTGGTGGCCCTGATGGCCCGGCCTCAGAAGGCCCGGTGGCGGGCAATTCCGTACCAGGGAGGAAGGGGCCGCAGTCTGCACTGATTGTCTCCAGAGAACACGGGTGTCCTGAGGGACAATCCTTTGCAAAGGTGTCTGCCACCGTGTTGAGAAATTAGAACGATTCCCTGCCAGGCTGTGCACAATTCATCTGTCACACTGGGAAGCTGGTGAGAACGAGGACAAATGAGCCAGCCTGCTCTGCTATGGGCGGCAGGGTGTCTAGGTGGACCATGGCCCAGGGCCAACCAGCCGGGGCCCCAGCACGCACTGTAACCCTCAAAAGCACCTGATCCAAGGCTCCCCGCCCGTCAGGGCTCTGCTCAGCCTAGGGTCGGGGCCGGTCGCTGAGGGCTGGTGGCTGGAGGGAACCAGGCACGGGCTACAGACATCAGGCACACACAGGACCCTGGGAGCTGAGGGCCCATAGGACCGCGTCAGACCCCACCCTGGCCTCACGCCAACCCAGGACCAGAGATCCAGGGGGCACGGGGGAGGGGATTGGTGATTTGTCACCCCAGCCTCTGGTAGCTCCTTCCCCATTCCTGGGCGCACTGTGGTTCTACGTTGAAAAAGACAAAATCATGCGAGTTTGTGCTGAGCATCTGGGGAGGCTGGGGCCTGCGCACACGCCGCCCCAGGGACCAGTACAGGGGCCAGAGAGGGGCTGCCTGTGCGTGGCATGCGTCTCCTTCACAGATACAGGCTCAGCAGCAGGCGAGCGCTCAGGCCAAAGGGGGGCCCATGGACAGCTTTCGTTTCCCAGCAGTGGGCACCCAGGCGGCTGGTCTAGCATACACGTGCACCCAGGCACAGACCTGGCCCCAGCCATGAGATGGGGCCACCTCGGCCCGCAGAGGGGTGCCCCGCCGCCCAGGATGCTCCCCCTGGAGACGTCCAGGGCTCTCCACGCAGCCCACCTCTGCAGCAGACTCACCTGTGTCCAGGGCCTGCACCCCCGCCAGAGGAAAGGGCCCGGGGTTGGGCGGCCGACGATACACCATGTGCACACGACCCTGCACAGCCTCCCGGTCCGCCAGCCCCTTCTCCACGGGCTCAATGAAGAACTCCTCCTCCTCCATCCGGATCAGGCCAGCCTGCGGGGCAAAGAGAGACGTTCAGACGCCAGCACACAACAGCCCAAGGCAGGGGCAGCCAGGGGCCCTGAGGACCGGGCCTCCCCCCAGAACCCTGCCCGGCGTGCAGCTGGGCTTGTATCTGGGCTGGGGGCGGGGCTTAGAGACCCCTCTGCCCAAAGGCAGGGCGCAGGATATGCTGAACCCTGTCTGGGAAAGGGACTCTGTGGGGTCATCCCTGCCCCATCCCCAACACTCTCTCCTTGTAGAGAAGCCAATGGAAGTCCAGTGCAGCTGTGGCCTGTGTCCCAGGAGGACACCCACCACGGTGCATGAGAGATAGGCCAAGTACTGCCTGCTCTCCGGGAGCCCAAAGCCCAAGACAAAGGTCCACACGGGAAGTGGGGCTGAATCTGGACCAAATTATATATATATATAGAGAGAGAGAGTTGGAGTCTCACTCCATCACCCAGGCTGGAGTGCAGTGGGACGCTCACGGCCACCCCAGTGTCGACCTGCCGGGCACTGATGATCCTTCTGCCTCAACCTTCCAAGTAGCCAGAACTACAGGTGTGTGCTGCCACGACTAGCTAATTTTTTATTTTTATCACAGAGATGAGGTCTCGTCAAGTTGCTCGGGCTGGTCTCAAACCCGTGGATTCAGGCAATCCACTTGCCTCGGCCTCCCAAAGAGCTGGGATTACAGGTTGAACCACCGAGCCTGACCCCAAACAATATTTTTAGAGGTCTGAAGCCAACATTCAAAACGATAAGATTTCATGTTTTGAAGCTGGAATTCCAGCTTTCCTTGGAAAACGCAAGCCCTGCCCACAGTGGGCCTTGGCCAGAGCGCACGCCCCTGCCACTGGCCATATAACTCCCCCCCGCCATCTATCCCTCTATCCACGTTGGCCCCCAGCCCAGACTCTATGGACAGCTGAACTGCCACCTCCACTGCCCCCAAGACAACAGCCAGACCCCCTGCTGCCAGCCCCTTGCCAGATCCCTGTGTCCGTTGCGACCAAGCTGCCCTGGGTCCTGGCACTCTAGGCCTGCCCTGCCCTGCTGGCCTCCAGCCCTCACGCCCCAACCAGTCCCTGGGTTGTCTGCACTCACAGAGCCATCAGCCCTGAACCCATCGTGCCCTCAGCTTGGGAGTCCCAACTGCCACCCCGGCCATCTGGTGAGCCAGGTTCTCCATCCGAGGCTGGGCTCAGCCCCTCAACACCCCCGACTCCCCGCATCCACCCCGGGGTGTGTTTCCTACAGATCACACAGGGGTTTTCGAAAGCTTGAATTAGTTGCTCAGAAGCCGGAGACTTCACATCCATAACCAGATCTCCACATTCTCTTCAAAAATCGGAAAAGCTGGCATTTCCGCTGCCCAATCCCCAGCTTGGCCAGCACCGGCCGGGCTCCGGGTCTGGTCAGGACTACGGCCTCCAGCGGGCAGCCCCTGGCATCCCCCGTCCAGACGTGTGCCACCATTCGCCCCCGAAGTAACATCCTGGCTTCTGCCACAAGGTCAGCCAGGCTGAGCAGGCACGGAGTGGCTGTTATGGGGGCCCCCTCCTCACGGGGCCCTGGGGGCTCCACAGGCACCGTGCTGTCACCGCTGGGGCCTCTGAGGCCTGGGAGCCATCAGCACCCCCACGGGGTCTGCTGAGCAGCGGCCCTGAATGGCGAGTCCAGTGGCCGAGGCAGAGACACCACCCCATGCCCACGTTCTCAGCCCAGGCCCTCGGGGGCCGACGAGCCAGTGGCCAACGCAGATCCCTCTCAGGGAAGTGTCGGTGCCGGTGATAAGCAGGGCGGGGGAGAGGAGGGTCTCGAGGGTCACAGAGCACAGCATGAGGCTTACTCAGGAGCCCAGGGAGCTCCTGGTGAGCGGGGACACCCACCCAAAACCCACTGGAAACCCATCCCAGCTCTCTGAGCTGCCAGGTGGGGAGTCAGCGGGAGGACAGTGCCCCAGACAGAGGGATCCGCACAGGTGAAGACCCGGAGGTGGATCCCAGTCGCGGAAGGGCTAACGGGGTGGGGGCGCTCAAACACCGAGGGCACAGTGCTGAGAGGCCCTCCATGGAGGCGGCCGACCGGGGAGGGCCACAGGCAGCCAGGAAGCTTCTGGGCTTGCAGCACCTTGACCAGAGCCACGCTGGCTGCAGAAAGGCAGGCTTGAGGAGCAAAGTGGGTCCGGGAGGGGACGGGAGGGACAGAGGCGAGGGACAGGTAGGTGGGTGCCGCGGACAGCCTCCACAGGACTTGGGGGGGTCCGACTTGCGTGAGGGGAGAGGCGGGCCCAGGAGGACTCCTGGGCCTAGGCCGCCAACACCAGGCCTCGGATCACCCAGATCCCCGCCCTGGCACCTGTGATCCATCCTCCGGTGAAAGGGACTTTGCAGGTGTGACCGAGTCAAGGCTTGAAGCTGGGGATGGCCCCGATGATCAGGGTCCCGCCCAGGAGGCAGAAGGAGGACACGGGGGCCAGAGCCACCGAGGCGAGCCGGGGTCTGGGGAATGCGGCCGCCGGGGCTCGTGGGGAGAGGAGCGAAGAGGGGCCGGGAGCCCGAGGGCCCTGCGTGTCTGACTCATCCTGGGTCTCTGGCCCAGCCAGGCCTGGCATCAAGTCAGCAGATGCTTGTGCAGTGAGTAAGTGGATGACCCCACGGCCGCATACCAGGTCCTCGGAGGGAGACAGGGCAGGGGTGGGGGGCTGGGAGACCTCGGCCACCCTGTCCACCGGCACATGCGTGAGAGTGTTCACAGCAGCGAGAGTTGCTTCTGGCTGCCAGGGACGGTCCCGTGCGGGCCTTGGGGGAGACGGGTGCTTCAACCCCGTCTCATCACTAGAACCCTTGAGAGGGAGCAGGGAATGAGCCCCCGCAGGTGACCACGGCTGCACTGTCCTGGAGTGGGGTGTGCTGGGCGCCTGGCCGGGGACCGCAGGCAAGGGGTCACACTCCCCGGGCCTCCGATGACCCGCCTGGAGATGGGGCGGGTCGTGTCTCCCCTTGCAGAGTGGCACGGGAGCTCTTGCAGCCTGGGCCACCGAGAAGCAGGGCCTGCCGCACCTGAGGGAAGTCATCCAGCCGGCTTGCTTTCCCAATGACAAAACTGAGGCCAAGAGGGGGAGGGGCCTGCTGGGAACACACAGGTCCAGGGATCTGGGCCTGGGCACCACGGAAGGAGCATCTCCCAGGCGGGCCCCTGGGCCAGTTAGGGAGGGACACTGGGGCATCAGGACCCTGCAGGGCAGCCCCTCCTCTAGGAAACAATGGCCCTAGGGTTTTCCGGAGGGGCCTCGTGGGACAATGAGGACAGATCCAGCCTGGCCAGCAGCAGCCCACTGATCGGAGCAGCCAGGGCAGAGTCTAGGGGCACCCTGTGCAGTGGAGGTTGGGTTCTCCTCCCCGACCAGCCTCCTGGGGGAAGGCCACCAGCTGGCCTGAGGACACTGCAGCTGTCTAGTGCTGCCCTGGGCCTTGTCACGGTCAGGGAGCCAGCGCCCACGCCTCTGGGACGTGCCTGCCCGTAGGGCCCTGGAGCCCTGGAGATGAGTATGAGGTGGGAGGCAGGCCGCTCAGCTCCTCACGTGGCACTGTCACCCCATCTCTGTCGACTGTTGTGAAATGCACACACATATGTCATATTGAAGAACATGAGTGGCCCCTGCCCCCACACCAGCGGTTGACCAACCCAGACCAGACCAGCAGCTGACCACCCTGACCAGTCGCTGACCACCCTCAGACCAGCAGCTCACTACCTCGGATCAGTGGCTGAGTACCCTGAGACCAGTTGCTAAATACTCTCAAGACCAGTAGCTAATCACCCCCAAGATCAGTAGTTGACCACCTCCAATACCAATAGATGTCCACCCCCCAGAGCCCCAGCTGATACCCCCAAGACCCCAGTCACAATACTGCTCAGAGGGGTCCTTCACAAAGAAAGTGGAATTCACTTTATTGCCTGATTTTCACACATTGCAGTATGCATCCCAGGAGCGGTCTAAAAAACGCAGAAGCAAATTGACAAGAGAACAAGGCACAAAACGTGAGCTACGTTTTGACGAGTTTTTTCCAGGACTTTGATTTTCCTGCTGCCGGTGGCAAGTGTATCCATTTTTACATGCAATTTTCATTAATTAGAATCAGTTTCCTCTCCCCAGTCGATAAATATTAAAGAAACCTGCGAAGCACGCTGATCTGAAGAGCACTTGGTTACGAGCCTGCTGATGGCTGTCCAGCCTGGTGTCTCAGGAGGGGCTGGTACCCCAGCCCAGCTGTCACCATGAGTCCCGCTCTGCTCTTGAAGTCTGTGGCCATCTGCCAACTCCAACCAGGTTCTCCCCTGGGTGACAGTCACAGGGAGAGCTCTGTCTCTGACCCGCAGGTGCCACCACAGGGCCCCGGAGCCTGGCAGGACCTGGGTCATCAACTCAAGTAGCTGGCATTCAGATCTTGATGACATAAAATGCCTGCCCTGCCTGTCACTTGCTGTTTGATTTCTGGTAAAGCAGTCACTGGAAACAGCAACTTTAAACATAAGAAGTTAAACATAAGAATTCAAAGGTTTAACGGCTATCCTCTGCTACTCTGAATCTTAAAGCATTTGGAACACCGGTACTCTCCAAGTGAGGGGTTCCCAGAAGCACAATTGTGTGTCCTCTGCCCGGATGCAGGATGCCCAGACACCAGCCTCATCACTTCTTCTGTGGGCGCTGCAGGCTCCGCCCGCCAGCAGGCTCCCGCCTGTGCACGGCTGGGGCCAGGTCTGTCACTCAACCTTGTCAGTTTCATAACCTCTGGCACAAAGACTGTCAGGTGTTTGTCAAGGTTGCAGTGGTGACATCCAGAATAGCGAGAAAAAAGGAGGCCGGGCCACCCACAGAGGGATCCAGAGTTTGCCAAGGGACAAGGGAGTGGGCACCTGCATCAGCTCACGGTTGCCCCAGACTCAGCCTTGCTTCGAAATACACACATGCCTACACATGCGCCTGCACACACATGTGCACACGCACA